CACTTTTGTTTCCAGCCTTATCTTGGTTCTAGTTGCTTCCTCGAGTTTAGACTCAAGTTCGGTGATTTGTGATTTAAGATTGTCATTTTCAGAAAGACTTTGATTAAGCTCGATAGTTAATCTTTTAAAAAAATTCCGAACCTTGCCTTTTGAGAGGGAATCAAATTTAGATAGAAAGCTTTCTAAGTTTACCTCAAAATTCTCTTGGTCGGATTCTTCGTCGGAATTAGCCATGAGGCATAACCCTGCCTGATTGGAGCTCTTTTCATCTTCTTCTTCATCATCATCCGATGAATCTCCCCAAGCTATCATCATTGCCTTCTTGAGGTCTCTGTTGAACCCTTTATCTTCACTAGACCTTCGGTGAAAACTCGTCTTGTTCTTGTCGTAGGTTCTATCATTTTTCTTTAGAGGACAATCTTTTGCCCTATGCTCAAAGGACCCACAAACAAAACAACCTTGGTTATTAAAAGATTGAAAACCTTTCTTACCTTGCTTATTTCGGTTGCCCTTGAATTTCCGGTACATCTTTCCGAATTGCTTTGCAAACATGCTCATTTCGTCTTCCGACTCACTTTCGGATTCTTCTTCTTCTCGAGCCTTGAGAGCTATTCCTCGCTCCTTCCTCACATTTTCGGCAGCTTGTTCTTCTTGTAGACCTAACTCATATGTCATGAGTGAGCCAGTCAAGTCTTCCAGAGTCATGGTGGAGAGATCTTTAGCTTCTTCTATTGCCGTAGTTTTGGCTTCCATACGGACGACAAGCTTCTCATAACTTTTCTTACCTGATCTTCCACAATAATCTCTTTCCCTAGTGCTGAAAGCTCATTTATAATATTAGTGAAACGTGTAATCATGTCCCTAATTGACTCTTTAGGTTTCATTACGAATAATTCGTAATTCCGCATAAATATGTCAATTTTGGACCTTTTTACACGCGAGGTACCTTCATGCGTAACCTCGAGTAAATCCCACATTTGTTTTGCGGATTTGCATCCAAGAACACGGTTGTGCTCAGTCAGACCAAGTCCACAAATCAAATATTTCAATGCTTGGGCATTATGCTCGAGTTTACGATAATCATCAGCAGTGAATTCAGATTTAGGTTTAGGGAGAACCTTACCTTCGGAGTCCACCTTACTAATGATGTTATCACCTGCCTCAATTACGTTCCATACCTGATAATTCTCAGCTTTGAAGTTCTCCATTCGACTCTTCCGGAATTGGTAAAATTTGCCGTTGAACAACGGTGGTCATTGAGTCGAGTATCCTTCTTCCAATCGTTCTACCATATTCATGTTGCTGGATCTCTTCCCAAAGTTTTAACCTTTATATGGCGAAGACCGGGTCTGATACCAATTGATGAAACGGTTAGAAACACAAGAGGGGGGTGAATTGTGTTTGTGTGGAACTGTGGCAGTTTTTCGCACAGTTCTAGTGTGGGGTTCAGAGAAATGCGAAATAGTAAAGTGCACAAGGATTTAACGAGGAAATATCCCTTGGCTCAAAGGGATTAACAAAACCTCGACCTCTCTCGGAGGAAGTTTAAACAACTTCACTAAAAAGCCTTTTGTGGTTACAAGGTAAATTCTCCTAATCTATCCTTGAGCCACCCCAACTCTATCCTCTCTAGGAAGAGTTATGCATCTCTACCTTGCGGGTAGAGAGCCTCTCAGCTTTACAGCAAAGCTCTCACACACACAACCCCAACCCGAGGAGGCTACACTTTAGTTTTTCCTCAAAACTAGTTACAAGATAAAGAAGGGAGAAGAAACTATATCTAGAACTTCATGAGCATGTCCATGTGCCTTGATATTGATAATTCTTTATAAGTATTTCTCTTGGTAATTGCTCGGTCAAGCACGCCTCTTCTTTTCTTGGTCTTCGACTATATATAGCCCAGAGGATATCCGTTGATTCTCCTTCCCTTAGAGGCTTTGTAGACTGCCTTGATATTTTTGAATTACTTTCCTTCTAGTAGCTCCTCTTTTATTCACTCAATCATGAGCAAAATTGATTCATGATTTACGAGCCATCATATAAGGACAGTAAGTAGCCACAAATAATTCATGTAATCAAATTAAATCGAGCTACAATGATTTCCATATTCCGTGATCCTTTCAAAAAGATATTCATTTAATATTTCAATCAAGGATGGTTTTCCCAAGTATAGCATGCTACGGACTACTATAAATATAGCAAGGCATTCAATTAGCACAAGTAATGATCACTTCCATAACGTGCATTAACCATAATGGGGATCAACTCTCTAAAGTGGGTGCTTAGTCATACATGAGAAATGTGCCACGTGTAAAACAATATAGCTTCGTATAGATAATTATGAACAGAACATGGTACGTTTCAATAGTAGTTCTATCCAAAGGTCCCACCTGCATGATTAGTTAAGTAATGAGTTATTGTTTGGACCCAAAGATAGTGTTCAATCATGTTTAAGGTTAGTCATCAATAAAACTAAATAATCAACAGGCACCTTCTTGGAAAGAGCTCTCCAACAAATAGGTGTGGGAGAAGATATGGAGATAATTAGGAACCTTGGATGCAACTTCCTCATGTCTCCAAATCAGCCCTATAAATAGAGTGCTTCATTGTTGTTCATATCATCAGTTTTAGAAAGTGAGAAAAGTGTGTGAAGAGTGAAATACACTTAGATTAGAAGTGTATTGGTGAGGATTAGTTTTTTTGTAATAGTTGAGTGTGAGAGTTTGCTCCTCCTATTGTAATTCTGTTCTTGATATTGAATAGAAGAATTTTCCAATCCCAACATATTGCTATAATATATTTTTTTGGATTTTTATAGAACAATTATATTTTTGAAAAACCCGGTTTTCAATGAAAAAATAAATTTGAATATTTTTTCACACAATTTGGTAAATTAAAAAAAGAACACTTTTTCATAAACTCAGACGTGATTATTTTCTCAACATTTGGTTTGTACACTCACACCGGCTTTGAATTCTCTTCTTGACTTCAATTAGATCACGTAGCTATCGAGTTTGTAAGCATATTCACATAAAATTGTTACTCTACACTCCACACCAATTTTAATAGTTGGAATTTTATCAATTCAGGACCCGAAAGATAGATTAATTATTAATTCAGGACCCGAAAGATGAAACGTATCAGTATAGGACCCGAATGATGGAAAACTATCAATTTAGGATCTAATGTTTCATAGGTTTTGATTTATTTAATTTTTTATTAATTCCATTACTAATTTTTGATAAACTTTTCGTCACAAAAGTTTATTAGTTTAATAAAATGAAATAATATTTAAAATTTTTTAATAAAAAAATTATGACAACTTAGGTCCTAGATTAATAGTTTTCAATCATTCAGGTCCTAAATTGATAGATTTTCATCATTCGGATCTTATATCGATGCATTTTATCTTTCAGGTCCCGAATTGATAATTAATCTATCTTTCGAGTTCTGAATTGATAAAATTCCTTAATATAATAATACGGAGTACTTTAGAATTTGATGTTTCTATTCACATCACCTTTAAATTCTCTTTTGAACTTGCAATAATCAAATTATGTGCCTACTTTTTATAACCATTAACATCAAGAGGCCGTTTGGTAACACTGTTTATCGGCTTATCAGGCTTATCAGCCAACTTTTTCACCATACACGTAACTTTTGCTTTCACGCGCTGAAATGTGTAATAAGCAGAAAAAGTAAGGTTGGAGTTACGTACTTTTCTGGCTGTATTGGCTGAAGTTACTGTAGAAGACCATTTTAGCTATTTTTACATATAATTTTTTCTTTATTTTATTAATAAAATATATTTTAAAAGTATTTTTTCTTAAATCAGCAGAATCAGCCAATGCAGCCACTTCAGCCAGAACTTCATAAATTTCAGCAGCGTCAGTCGATTTTCGTGCTACCAAACGGGCTCCAAATTCATACTCGCGTGATCAAATCAAACAAAATTGAAACTAACCAAAACTAAACTGAATCACAAATGATTTTAATCGAATAATTTGGGTGAGTCAGGACCTAGTGGTTCTCGTCTTATTTTAGAATAATTGAAACCCTTTGGACCG